ATTTCAAGTGATAACAAATTCAACATGACAATCTCTCATTATTATAAGGAAAGTCAAAATATTATTGGTATTATGTTTGACATATGCAAAAGGTCTAGCAAAGCAACTTGCATGGCTTAAGTTGTTTCATACAGACACACACATGTAAACATATACACATATATGTACACAGACATATATACTATTATTATATTATATATTTATATGCAAAGTGTATTAAATTATATGTATATAGTAAGTATATATAAAATATTAATCATATATTAAATACTGTTATGTTTTTGTGTGCATACAGAGCATATATGCTTTCTATTTTCTTTTTCATATTTGTAACATATAAACATTACTCCAGAAAAATTTTCCATAATTTGCATTTATAAAAAGAACAATTTTTTGTAAAGGTTGAATAATTGTAGAAATCCAAAGAAAGAATAAGTTCAGTAGATTAAATGTCCCCATAACAAACTTATATACCTATCTCTTCTATATTTGTATATACACATACATTAACATACATACATATGTATATGTACCTGCATGTACATATACATATATACATGCATATACATACATATATACAATATATACATATATGTGTGTGTGTGTGTATTTTTATTATCAAAAGAAAATGTTTAGATGAGGATGGAATAGCTTAATTATGATCTTGAAGAATAGGAAGAATATTTCAATTCCAAGAGAAATGACTGTAAAGCAAGAAAATTTTGCTAAACTACCGCAATTATCATGATGCTCAAAAAGTTAAATGACCTCTTTTAGGTTATAGAGAAGACATTTATGAAGATGTTTATAAAAATTAAGTACAAATGTTTAATTGTGGTGGTTTGAATACTCACTTGAGTAAAAACAATTAAAGTACAGAACTCAGAACTTAAAGAAATCTAAATGATTATGTCAATACCCACATTTTAAAGGATACAAATCTGAGACTCAAAGAATGTAAATAGTCTTGTCCATAGAATAAGAGAGGTTTGTTTTGCCTTTCCTTGGAAATGGAACATCTAAATTCTTAAAAATTCTCTAAGCCAGTGTTCTAAGTTTGGATCAGTGTAAAAACACATTTTAAAGAGAGCAAGAATATTTTCCCAGAACCTGCAAAATACATCTATGAGCTCCAACTTGAGAAACACTGTTGTAGGTCATAGATTGTAGGTGCTCCAAACCTCTCATGAATGACAACAAACTCCACTAATCAACAGAGGGTTTGAAATTCTATGAACTATTTTCCTGAACTGCATTAACCACAGGGTTTCAGAGAGATACAAAACAGATACTTGAAGAGATCTTTGGGGAGTTTGTTCTTGCTTTCATATCATGTGAATCTTCTTTGTTTCATCAGCATTCACACTTCCTTATTTTCTTTGAGTTCTAGGAGCTTTGTAGATCACAAACATTATGTTGAAATACAGCATTATGTGCATTAATGTATTAACCCCATTAATCCCTTAAATGAAATTACCTTTCACGTACACCACGAATACAAATGTCCATTGTATTTGAAAGGAACTTTAGAACTACTTTTTATATCCTGGGCCACAGTTTAGAATTCAGTCACTTGACACTTGAGGGGAAATATGTAGATGTATAAGCAGAAAAGTAGTAAGATAAGTTCTTTTTGGAAAATTCAAAATCAGTCTTGTCAGAAACACCTATAGCACAGTAATCAGAAGAAAACATTAATTTCAACAGGGGTCAGAAGTTTGGCAGTGTTGCTCTTTGGAATAAAAGGCTTAGGAATTAGTGAAATAGTTTGTAATTATAATGGTTATGGAAGAAAAGTGGATAAGACAAAACATAAAGGTAGAGTATTGATGAACTAATTATTAAAAGGCTCTGTATTTTCTGTTAACTATCTGTAAAAACATGTATGAATTCACTGTTTTTAATCTGGATTCCAATTTACTGAAAATGCTCTATTTCTACCATGCCTCATAATTTGTGTTTTGATGTTGGTAATGAATAGAGAAATATAGACCAGAATCCAAGGAACAAAAGTACTAATTGTAAAGTTTACATGGAGGTAAAAAATCTAGAATAGTCAACATAATGTTAACAGACAAAAACAAAGTCTGAGGACAGACACTACTGGACTGCAAGGCTTACTATAAAGCCACAGTAACATAGGAGAGTGTAGTATTTGTGAAGAAGAGACCTTAAAGAGATCAAAGGAACAGATAAATAGCCCAGAAATAAACCCACATATATATAGACAACTAATATTTTAGAAAGAAACAAAAGTAATACAATGGAGCAAAGATACTCTTTTCAACAAATGGTGCTGAAACTATCAGACATCATGTACAAAAAAATGAATCTAAAATCAGATCTTACACTCTTCACAAAAATTAAAAATGGATCACAGATCTAAATGTAGAACTATAAAACTCTTAGAACATAACATAGAAGAAAACCGAGATAACTATGGGTTTGGTGAGACAATATCAGGAGAATTAGAAGACAAGCCAGATGAAGAAAATACTTGCAAAACACATATCTGATAAAGGATAGTTATTCAAAATATACCAAAAAACTCTTAAAACTCAGTAACAAAACCAACAACCTGACTAAAAATGTGCCAAAGACCTCAATAGATATCTCACTAAAAAAGAGATACATGTTATTTGCTAAAAAAGCAAATAACATACTAAAAGATGTTCCACATCATATATCATCAGAGAAATGCAAATTAAAACAACAATGAAATATTATTACATGTCTATTAAAATCGTCAAAATGCATAACACTGAAAATATGAATTGTTGGTGAGGATGTGGAGGAAGAGGAACTCTCATTCATAACTGGTAGTACGGTAAAATGCTACAGCTGCTTTGGAAGACAGTTTGGCAATTTCATACAAAACTAAACTCATCATAAGATCCAGCAGTTGTGCTCCTTGGTATTTACCCAGGTGAGTTGAAAACTATGTCCACCCCAAAACCTGCACGCACATATTCTTAGTAGTTTTATTTATAATTGCTAAAATTGGAAAGCAACAGGTGGGGGAATAAATAAACTGATACAACCAGGCAATGGCATATAATTCAGCAACTGAAAAGACAGAGGAAATTAAGTACGTATGACTAAGTGACAGTAGCCAGTCTGAAAGGGCTATATACTTACACATGATGCCAACTATGTTACATTTGGGAAAAGGCAAAACTATGGAGAGAGTTAAATTATCAGTGCTTGCCATAGGTTGGTGAGGAGGGAGAAATGAACAGAAAACCAGGATTTTTAGGGCAGTGAAACTACTCTGTGTGATACTATAATGGTGGATACATGTCATTGTATATCTGTGACAGCCCATAGAATGTACAAACTAAAAATAAAAAACCATTTATTCTTCAGAGTCAAATTGTAATTACCAGGAATTTTTGTAACTTAAAAAGCATTGCTTATCCTCCAAATGTATGTATTTTATCTAATTTTGTTGCAACTTCATGTCAAACATCAAGAGAATGAATGCTGAATAATCATGATCTAATTATAAAAATGCAATTTGTGGGCAGAATAACACAATCAAGAAATGGTCTACAGACTTAAACAAAGAAATGGTAAATCCTTGAAGGAAAGGATCTCAGCAACAAAACCAAACAAAAACACCTTACCCCAATCCTAATTAAAGTATTTGAAGCAAACTATTTTTAACTCTGGGTCTGAAACCCTTTTTCTTTTAGAACTTCCAGCCATTGCATTTAATTGATCCCCTAAACTCGCCCTTCCTTTCCATGCTCACTGATTCTGCCCTATATCCTTATCATCTTACAAGTAAATTAATCAAAAAGCCTAATCGCTCTCGCACCTCTACTTGCCAGTGCAGAGTCTGTAGTTACGAGACATACTCTCCTGAATTCACACATCTAACTGCATCATACAGGACAAAATTGATTCTCTTCCCCCAGATCACAAGTTATTTTTCCAACTTGGTATTCTAATGCTCCACAGTGGACTCCATTATTCCCTAAGTTTACCATTTACTTATTTCCTTGCCTCAGCTCACTCTAATGATGCAAAAACATTTCTTTGGTTCTCTCTCTGTCTGTCTCTTTCGGTCTACATCGCTTTTCCTCTTTCTCTTATTCCTGACAATCACTATTCTGCTTTAAAGTCTAGTTCAAACGTTAGACTTTTAAGACTTCTCGGATAGCCTGAGGGACAATTCCACACTCTTTTATCACTTATAATTTATCACGAAAATATGACCTCACATCATTTGTTTATAACATAGCTAGTTGAACAAAACTGTTTTCACTACAAAAGCTATGCATTCCTTTAAAACAATAATCAGTCGTCTTTGTTCTTTTTATCTACAGTATCTAATCCTCAAGAGATGTTCAAAAATACATATTATTGCTTATCTTTATGTATTTCACATACATGTTTTCATTACTGAATTCGGTCTTTTTGGTCATTTGCCACTTTTAAATAGGAATTTATTTCTTAGGTTTTCCTTCTGAGTTTATGTTAATAAAAGGGAAATGTTGGCTTAATTCATAAAAACGACATCTGTGACTTCTGAGGAGAAGCATTAAGGCATATTATCTCAGCTAGCATTCTGTATGGCTAGTAGGCCTCTTATCTACAGAAGGGACTTAATTGCTCTTTAAATACATCTAACACTTATGCTTCAACAATATTGCCCACCAGCCATTTAGCACTTTCAGTGGTAATTTTATTACTAAAAATGATCAGTTTTACTATGAATTCTTATTACTCTAACACAGCAAATTACAAAAATCATTAGTTTGTTCATGCAGACAAAAGTAAGTGCCAAGTTCAAATACTTGCTTTTTCACAAAAGAGAATGAGCTAAAATAACATAGTACAGAAATAAAACTCAAGTTGGTGAATGGAAGAGCTGTTCTAAAATAATGGAGACATATCCATGGAAGATTTTACGTAGGCTACTTCCTGTCCAGGGAAAATATTTAGTTATATGTTCCACTGTGCCAAGGACAGACTGGTCCTTTCCAGACACTTACCCTCTGACAGCATGAATAAGCCTCAATGATGGATAGGCAGTTCGCACTTTCAGTTTATTCTTAAGGATTAATGCGTTAACCCACTCCACGTGCTTCTCTCCTCCTTTGACCATGAAAGCAGGGATCCAAAGGACACTATCATTCAACATGGAAAGTCTATGCACAAATTTTTCTCTGTCACTCTCATTCCGAAAGCCTCCAAATGCTCTTTGTACAACTGATGGATTCATGGTAATGAAATCTGATTTAGTTCCCACATCTGCAGCAAACTCCACCACAGGAGCTAGATTGCACCTGAAGAGGAAAAAATTAATGGTTAAATGAAAAATAGATATGAAACATTCACTCCTAAAATGGCTTGCATGAAAAGAATGGGGAACAAGCATGTTTTTTTACCAGGTGGATAAAAAAAGGATAATCTGCCTGATAAAATTATATTTTTCAGTAAGTCACTATAAATTTAGGAATATTGTCTTCAATAATGATGTGCACTCCTATTACAGGGCTCAAATTGTCATTTTTATTAATTCAACCTGTTGTCTAAGAATACTCTTTGCTGTTATCTTCATAAACCACATGATGAATTCTTAATAGATGAATTTATGATGGTAAATTTGCAAGGGCTCTGTTGTCATGCAGTAGGCTTTCTAAACAACATGCTATTCTACAAGGAAGTAAAAGAGCTTAGACCTGATATTCCAACATACACTACTTGTGAAGTTTAAGTCATTTCAACAATTTTATAAACATTTGTAATTAGAATATGACTTTCTGTTCCCTGAACTTTAGGGAAAAAGTATAATTCCTTAGAGCATTTTCCAAAAATACATTTGTAATTATCTTCTATAAACCTAAATGGAAAGAAAAGCAAGAAAAATGGAATGATCACTTTTTATATGACTTTTCTGAGATGTTAAATAATGCAGAAAAGCCCTTGTAGGACCAAATATCTTTCTATTCCTTTTGAGGACACCTTCAAAAATGCCTGCTTTCCCTGCTAACAGATCATGTGTTCTCTAAGGAAGAGGGACAGAATTTGTTGTCTTTTCCTCTCCACTGGAGCTCCAGGGCCTTACAAAGTGCCTGGGCATGATTTTATTCCTATAATCTTTTATTACACAGAAGTTATGACAAGCACCTTGAATTTTAACTTCAATTTGTGAATGCTTCTTTCATTCTGTTACATAGATCTTTAGGTACTCAACTTAAAAAACAATTTAAATTTTTTTTAATTTGCTAAAAAAAGGCAAGTTTTAATACATTGATAAGTGAAAAATTAGATTTTTAGAAAGCAAGAATTTTCTAATTTGTAAAAAATCATTCTGGTCTATTTCATCTACATCTTCATGAAAACACACACACACACATACACACAATTCCTTCTTTTCTTTTTTCTTTCCTTATGTCACCTTTCAAGGGAAGGGGGGGAAAACTGATTTCCTCTTTCTGCATTTTTACAGGTTTGATGATATGAAAGTTTCTCACATTTTTCTTCCTTGTGCATTTTATCACATTTAATTAAACTCTCAAACAAGTTAAATTCAATTAAAAAATAAAGTCTGTGCCCTGCTGTTAAAAAGATGGCTTGTATATCCTTCCATATCTCTCTTAATTATATCTTATTACTTTCTAGATCTCTGACACATTTAGCTACCACAACAAACATCTCACACAGTTAAGCAAAGTCTGTGTTATCTAGAATGAGTTACTGAGAGAAAACAAACAAAAAAGAACTTATTATTTAGAAATAAAAAATATCTTAAAGTCATATATCTTTAATCACACCCACCCACTATTATATGCTAGAGTATTTATTTGTCTTTATTTATAATTCATGCAGTATTTGAGATAAAATATTATTTATTCCCATTACAGTGAGAATATTATGAATGGAACTGCACTGGAAAATAACAGCTACATGTGAACAGAAGCCAAACTAAACTTCTTATGGTGGAACTCATGAAAGATTAAGACACCATAATGTTTAAAATCCTAAAGTGCACTCACATCAGCTTTAAAAATAGTCTAAAATTCTAACCAAGCTGATTATAAGATGAATTTGGAAACTGTGGTGAAAATGTATTCTGATTCTTCTTCCTCAGGTAAAAGGAATAGACAACACTTGTTAACATTATAGTTAACATGCTCCTGTCAGGGGAGATGGCTTCAGACATATCTCTCTGCCATAACAATTTTTCAGCAATTATTTTCAGAGGATATACACCATAGAAAAACAATATTTAAACTTCATTTTCTCTATAGCTGTAAAAATAACCAGAGCCAACCCAGTTAAAAAGAACAAAAATAATAACCTACTGCATTATCTTTTCAGGAAAAAAATTCCTTAGTTAACTCTTTTCATTAGTTTTTCTTATCACATATTTAAAAGTCATCCCATGTTTGGCAGCACCCACTCTTTCAGGATTGACTCAGTATGTTTCTTAAACACGATTGGCCACATATTTTAAAAGCTAATAAGATATTCATCAGTAAGGTTGGGTATTGAAAGACAGGTACTTTCCACTTTGGAGGCAGAGTAGTTCTGGAGAATAGGGTTGATCTAGGGGACAAACCAAAGTATTTGATGCAATCAAGAATGTTAAATGACTATGGTGCTGACTTAAAGACGACAAAGAGATCAAAGAGTAGTCAATCCAGATGAACTTTATTGTAGTTTTTGTTACCTAAGGATAGCCCAACCAGGCTTTGTGAGGGATGGCAATAGAGGTAATTAAAACAACATGAGAGAAGGACATATATAATATAAGCTAATATTGGTTTAAGAATCCAGCTTGTTCATTTCCCTTGGACTTACTATGTCTCATTTTTCACTGGAAGGAAAGATTATCATCATGTCTATAAGTGGTCAGTAGATTACTCTGTGGTTAAGTCAGATATTTAGTCATATAATTAGCTGAATGCCACATAATCAGGACAAGCATTAAGAAACTCAAAATAACCAACCAGCTGTGTTGCACTCCAGCAATTCAGTAGACTTTTGAACTTCACAGAATTACTAGGAGCAATACTGCTGATTGAGCGAGATTGTGAATAGATTTGCAAGCATACATTCTTCATCTTCCTTTTTAACTCTTGTTAGGGATTATAATATCCAAAAGTAGCCAGATTGTGTAACAAGCATTCATGAAGTAACACATTTCATGTTACTGTTAATGTCACAAAAATGAAGAGTGGACAATTTTTTAATGATGGAGTTCTGTGAGTCAAAACTACTAAGTGCATAAGAATATTCAGTTTGCTCAAGTTCTATTTCTTCAGCCAAATTAAAATCTTTTGTGCTATCCAATTATTTTTGACATATCAAGAACATGAAAACATATACACTTAATTAGGTATGTTGGACAAACTCCCTGTTCACTCTAAGCTGCACAGTTTTGAATTTATTTGTGTTTATTTTCCATCAGTGATTAAAAACCTACAGCAATGCAGCTAGATCTACTTGTGCTTCTGAAATTTCTTCTGTGAATTCACACTAAATATGATTGCCTTTCAACATCTAGTCTCAGACTCCCAGAATTGAAGCATATTATACAAGGCCACTCAGCCATGATATTCCCCAAATCTTGAGCAATTATTAAACAAAGAGTTTAAAGTACCTAAAACAAAATTAATATTCACACCTCAGATTTCTTGGAGGAAAGCATTCTCAAAATGCAGGCAAAAGGATTAAATATCTAATCAATGTGACTTTTTGAAATATGAAATATAGGATTAATAGTTGATTCAGATGTGGTATACCATTATGTAGTAAATTGAGTGTAAGAAATAGAGAGGAAATATGTTCAAAATCTACATTGTCAGTATGGTGGATGGACACAAACACACATACACACACATATCACATTTTATGCTTGCTTATAACAACTAATAAAAATCTTCAAGTTAACATAAATAAATACAAATGACACATATCATGAAAATAACTAAGTGACTAAACAGAAGAGAGAATTTTTTCACAGACCCAGATTTGTTTACATTACTGGCAAGGGTGGAAAGAACAGTGTCATATTCTTTCTAGGGAAATCACAGAATGACAAAAAAAATTCAAACTCATTCAGGAAGGCAAAGATCTGAATACTGAGAAATATGTTAGACTTTGTCACTCCTATACTTCAGCCCAACAAAAATGGAGTCATTGGGCAAACTTTGTACAACTGCACAGATATTAATAACTTAGGTTTTTGGAGGGATGGAGGAAGGTATGCCAGCAAATGGATGTAGCATTTACAATAAACTGAAATGTTAAATATGCACTTAATATATATCCAACTTTGACTTAAACTTTAAGAAATAAAAAGCACTCAGCTTAGTCTCTGCTCTCAGCCACCCTTTCAAGTAGCTATAAGGGCACTGGCGTTTGCATCCCAATCTGTGTGACCTCAGGTAAATTACTTAATCTCCCTAAGATTCAATTTTTTCTATAAATTAGGCTGTTAATGCTGATTGGAATGCTATTGAGAAAGTTGTATGAAACAAAATATCTGAATTTCCTCTCAGAATTGTGTAGAGTCGGTAATAAATATCTTACACTAATCTTTTTTACGTGTTCTTCCCTTTTAAAACCTATTGTAAGAAGCAAAAGAAATGCATGCAGGCAAATTAAAGAGCATGTCAGACTGGAAGAATTAACTGAGCAACAGTGTGGGGCAAACAAGATTTATTTATATCACATGTAATATACAATTTTGTCTGGAATTTAGCGTTACTCCCCATCTGCAAAACAAACTGGGGCTTGAATGGTTGGTTGATTCAATGGTTGGTAGTAAACATCTTGAATATTAGACAAAACAAGTCTGACTCCATAGGCAGTGTGAAAACTTGAGAAGTCCACAGACATTGTCAAATATACTGTAGAAGACGACTGTGATACAACTGTTCAGGAGAAATTAGAATAAGGTGCTACAATTTGGAATTTAAAATAGTTCATCTGTAAGGTAGTGAAGATCTTTTAAAACAATAATAGGAAGGAGAATAGCTAGGTTTTATTTAGCAGTTACTATATGCTATAAGCTTTTATTGGCTTGCATGTAGTGACATATGTACTTCTCATAATAATCCCATGAGACAGGCACTATCATCATCATGCTTCCCCACTGATGAAGAAACTAAGTCATGGTGAGCTGTACACATTTACATATCTTATAAGTAGTAGAGGCAGGTGTTAAGTTCTTAAACATTGTACATCACAATCTCTGTGAATGAAAAAGGCAGGACTGGACCACAGAACAAGCTTAGAGAACTTGGGAAGTCCAGTTGCATGTGAATGTGATAAA